TCAAGAAGACACAATTGATAGAAATATCGTTTCGGTTACTAACCAAAATTTTAAAACTTTAGTTTCGAAATGAGCAAATTTGAAAGAAAATTATTTGCGCCTATTTAATTGTATTAAAACTATTTTCCATCAAGTACATTTATTTTGATGTTTTTTTGTGTTGTTTCTTCTAAAAGTTGCATAATGCATCGACCACGTACCATTTGTTCACACCAAAGAAGTCGCTTCTATAGTAGATAGTTAAATAAATAAATAATATTTAGTTAAGAATGATACAGTAAAGCTCGGAGTTATATTCATGAAATTACTGAAAATATGCGCATATACTGTGTGTGTGATAAACATTTGAATCTTTTGGAGATACAGCTTATACAACTTTATTTTTTGTAATATCCAAAAAAAAAGTACACTCGAATGTACATATAATGCCATTTCATTTTTTTTTAGCCCACTGAATTACGTTGTTAATTGATGAGATGAGATGAGATTCAGCTGTCACACATTCTCTTAGGACTTTAATTTTTTCCGGTTCTTGATTTTCACCATTTTCATCGCTTTGACTGTGGTCTTCAGATTCTTCATCCGGCAAAATATTTTTATTCCAGTGGTCTAGATCCATGGGGTTAATGTTAACTACAGGATTGAAAGCTTGCATCTTTATCTTCATTGGCTAATGGCGAACGTATCAATAACCTAGTAACGTGAAGAAAATGGAACCATCATCACTTTTTATGTATTCAGGGGGTTAGATGACTTAATTCGTTGTCTAACAATGGGACAGATTTTGATTGCAGACGAACGGTGTCATCTTAAACAACCTGAAACAAAACCTTAAATCACAAGCATGAACAGCAAGAAATGGACAAAATCTTGACAAAAATTAATTTATAGGCATCGAAATTACACAGATACAATAAATAACTTCTTTCAAAAAGTACTTTTAGAATTTCTACAATTAACAGGACTTCGTTTTTCTGTTTTTCTTCCTGGAGCTGTTTTTTCCTCGCGAGCTACATATGTTTTTCAAAGAAGAAGCTTCCAATATATGCCACTTTTGTCGGCGTTGTAAATCTGATCTTTCAACAGTTGAAGATCTTTCTTTTCAAAGGTTCAAGAAGCTCAGTCTGTGATGATAATTTTTCGCCTGAAATCTTTAATGTATTCCTAAGAGCCATTTAGAGAAAACAAAAATAAAATTTTATACGAACTTTTGGTCTTAAAATTCATTAGGGAATCATATTTCTATATATTATTTCTATTCTATATATATATATATATATATATATATATATATATATATATATATATATATATATATATATATATATATATATATATATATATATATATATATATATATATATATATATATATATATATATATATATATATATATGATGACACTATATTCCGGGATATCATCCGTTCGCTCGTTGAACTCCGACTGGAATCCTGCAGACGTTTCGCCAAAATCTCACTTGGCGAAACGTCTGCAGGATTCCAGTCGGATGCAGGATTCCAGTCGGAGTTCAACGAGCGAACGGATGATATCCCGGAATATAGTGTCATCACATTTTTCCATCCGTGAATCAATACGTGAGAATATATATATATATATATATATATATATATATATATATATATATATATATAATGCTAACCAAAACACTTCGAACACAGTGTTCGAAGTGTTTTCGGAGCGCGAGCATTGAAGATGCCAAGTGAGATTTTGGCGAAACGTCTGCAGGATTCCAGTCGGAGTTCAACGAGCGAACGGATGATATCCCGGAATATAGTGTCATCATATATATATATATATATATATATATATATATATATATATATATATATATATATATATATATATATATATATATATATATATATATATATATATATATATATATATATATATATATATATAGAATAGAAATAATATATAGAAATATGATTCCCTAATGAATTTTAAGACCAAAAGTTCGTATAAAATTTTATTTTTGTTTTCTCTAAATGGCTCTTAGGAATACATTAAAGATTTCAGGCGAAAAATTATCATCACAGACTGAGCTTCTTGAACCTTTGAAAAGAAAGATCTTCAACTGTTGAAAGATCAGATTTACAACGCCGACAAAAGTGGCATATATTGGAAGCTTCTTCTTTGAAAAACATATGTAGCTGGCGAGGAAAAAACAGCTCCAGGAAGAAAAACAGAAAAACGAAGTCCTGTTAATTGTAGAAATTCTAAAAGTACTTTTTTAAAGAAGTTATTTATTCTATCTGTGTAATTTCGATGCCTATAAATTAATTTTTGTCAAGATTTTGTCCATTTCTTGCTGTTCATGCTTGTGATTTAAGGTTTTGTTTCAGGTTGTTTAAGATGACACCGTTCGTCTGCAATCAAAATCTGTCCCATTGTTAGACAACGAATTAAGTCATCTAACCCCCTGAATACATAAAAAGTGATGATGGTTCCATTTTCTTCACGTTACTAGGTTATTGATACGTTCGCCATTAGCCAATGAAGATAAAGATGCAAGCTTTCAATCCTGTAGTTAACATTAACCCCATGGATCTAGACCACTGGAATAAAAATATTTTGCCGGATAAAGAATCTGAAGACCACAGTCAAAGCGATGAAAATGGTGAAAATCAAGAACCGGAAAAAATTAAAGTCATAAGAGAATGTGTGACAGCTGAATCTCATCTCATCTCATCAATTAACAACGTAATTCAGTGGGCTAAAAAAAAATGAAATGGC